CCCCCCCCCCCCCCCCCCCCGTGAGGGCCCCAGCTCTTCCTCCTGTGGCACTGACCACATGCTGAGCAGCGCCCCAAGGTGCACAGGAATCACCTGGGCCTCCCTTAAAGTGGGGCTCCGGAGCGCTGCTGAGCCCAGGAGGGGGCCTGAGGTTCTGCATTTTTCCAAGCTCCTGTTTGATGCTGGAGCTACCGCCAGAGTGACTCGCCCTGAGCTGTGCGCTCTTAGGAGCCCGTCTGGCATCTCTGCACCCAGGCCTTCGCCATCGTGTGACACAACTTCCCAGCAACACTACTAGAAGATGCGGGAAGGGGAGGCGGGGCTGCTGACACAACGCGTGAGTGCGGGGGAGGGGGTGGGCCGGACAGAGTGCGATCAGAGAGGAAAGAGAAACTGGAGAAGGTAGGGAGGAGCAGGAAGGAGAAACTGAAGAAGGTAAGGAGGAGCAGGCGCGAGAAAGCAGGAGCTCGCAGAGAGCAGGAAGGAAGGGAAGAGGGAAGGAAGCGAGGACAGGAGGGCTGTGTGGGGGAAGCAGCCATGGGTCGCCTTCCCCTCCACAGCGGCATCCGGTAAGCAGACTGAGTTTGCAGGCCAACGAGCTCCAGAGCCGGGCGCTCGGTGTGACCGAGAAGTGTGACCGCAGCCCTCGCAGACGGCATGCTCAGGCGGGTGCGGAGCGAGCCCGACGCTGCGCCCACAGCAGGAGAGCGAGCGAGGCCCGAGCCGCAACGGAGTGGGCAGAACAGCCGGCATCACGTCAGGAAACCCCAGGCGGACAGCGCAAAGCCTTTTGTCTGAAGGCCATACACCAATCGTGCAAGAAAAGCAGGTGAAGCGCGGTTACCTGGTACAGCTCGATCCGTTGCTCCGGCACCCTGGCTTTGGGGTTCTGCAGGCGGAAGACTCTGAACTCCGCTTTCACCAAATTGGAAGCGTTCTTCTCCATAGTGGACACGTCAAACCGGACGATTCTGAAGTAGGGTCTGTAGAAAGGGGGCGGGATGGCATCTGTAAAAAGTTAGGGCAATCATTGAAAATGATAACACCCGCTGTGCTCGCGCAGAAGACCGCAGCCTGAGAGTCCCCAGAAACCACAGGAGAAGTGGCCACGGAGTGACTCTGCTCCCAGTGGCCAACTTCATACCATTAACAACTTAACAGAGCAAAAAATACAATAAACATATGCATTTTGGTTACAGAAGTAGCAGATTAATAACGATTAGCAAACCGCTTCCAACATTCGAGGGCATGCAGTTAACCCTGTCGTTTTAGAGGCTGACGGGGTGGTGGACAATCCTAGAGGGTTATAAACTGAAACAAGCTTGTGACAGTTGAAGCCTAGAGAGCGCTGTCAGGCCTGCTTACACTTTAATACGATGTGCCAAGGAAACAGCTCCTAATGGCAAGCAGCTTGCCATGTCTTTCTTTTTTCCTTGAAAGCCTGGCACCCAAATACTCCTCTTTTATCCAGGCTCATGTACGACATCTTTTTTGGCTACAATGGTTTGCTTTTTTGCACATGCACAACCAACTCACGATGAGGAACTCTGAATAAACAAAACTATACCCCTCAGCCGGCCATCCAAGGTCTACCCTTAAGATTCTCTATTTGGAACATGACCTGGTGGCGTGCGGTCACCCTCACGAATAAAGAGAGGGAGTCAGGGCAGGCTCCTTCAGCGTAGAACCGCACAGGAGGCAGCTGCAGGTAGAATCCAACAATTCCAAATTCATACCTCACTCAAAGTTTTGCTGCTATTTTTGGTAACCTGGCAGTGCCTCAGCATATGCATGTGAAGCTAACCAGGACTGAAGGAGCGGGCCACCCCTGGCTTTTATACACACCCCATTTCTTGAGCTCCACCACCAAACAGACCCCCTGTCACAGCCATGTGTCCACAGTCTTCTTCCAAACCCTCTTACAAATTTGCCTTCCCTGTTCCAGGGCTCCATCCAATCTGGTGGCTCCTCCTCCTCCCCTTTCTTCCCTGTGAAGCTTTATTACAACAAGGTCATTCATAGTGGGGCATGTTTCTTTACAAACATTTTTATGACCTTGGCATTATGTGTGTTTATTTTGTTTTTGCCTGTGAAATTTTAAGAATCTGAAAGGCAGAGACTGTTCGCCAGGCCTTTCTTTTTCTCAGAATATTCAGGACAGGGCTGTGCACATAGGGCGCTCCCCGAATGTCTGCTGTTTGCATAGCTGGTCATCAGTGAGAGGCTTAAGAGCCAGGCAGCTGGCTACTGGCAACACTAATGTCTTATTAAATAAGCAAGCTGGGCTACCCGTCTTAAAATACAAACAAATACCTTTCGTGATTTCTTAGGAAGGCTATGCCCTGGTAATTATGCAGGAAAAAAAGGCCAGGAACACAGCCACACTGCCTCATCTTCAGACCTCTGCATTTCTTTTGTGGAGGCCCCACCACTCCTTTCCTTGTACACTAGAGACTCTGAACACAGACTGTTGGAGAAGAGGTGCCTTCAAGCCACCCTCTGCTCAGTGCTGGTTCATAAACTGAGGGTGTGAATTGAGGCTTTGTAGCTGTTGAATCAGAGCCTCAGAAAGAAAGAAACAAACAAACAAACAAAACATACCCCCAAATCCAAAGCATTCAGAGCTTGGAAAAAAGCAAATATTCATGTAGACAGAGCGATAGCCCACAATGTGGCCCGATTTCACATCGGGTTTGTGTGGGGGAGTTCCAGGCTGGGGACACTCATACCAACCCACAAAAAGGTTTTTGGAGCCCCCTAGCATAGTAGCTACAAAAGCTAGCTATTGAGAAGAAACAGGAGGACTGATTAAAAAAAAATACAATATGCATTTAAATATTTAAACACATCACAGTCAAGGTCACATTTCCAATTAAACCCATTGAAACCTTCCCCTGCTTCCAACACACTTATCCCGTGCTTCTGGCCACTTTCTGAAGCAGTTCTGGAGGTCTTCCTTCACGAGTGTCTTTAGTGGTGCTGGCGTGGCTGCCTCAATTTCCTCAGCACATTCAAAGCATTTACCTTTACCGGTCATCTTGTCTTTGGGGAAGAGCCAGAAGTCGCACGGTGCCAGATCTGGTGAACAAGGTAGACGAGGACACGCTGTAATGTTTTCACAAGCCTGCCTTGCAGCCGGCGGCACCTAGCAGCGGCAGTCACCATAATTTTGATCACATCTCGTAAAGACATTCAGGAAAAATGACTTCCAGAACTGCTTCAGAAAGCGGCAAGGACAACGAGGTCAGTGTGCCCGAGATGACGGGGAGCCTACGGAGGGGGATTCGGAGTGACGCGTCTTCTGCGGCAATGAGTCTTCATCATTACAGTTAGGGCATGCTTGCGGCACGTGACTGCATTCTCCGCATGGCACTGGCACCCTGCACAACACATCTGAATTCTCCCTCATCCCCTTTCCCTCCTCCCACCCTGCCCTCCTCCTTCTCATCGCCTCCACCCTCTGACAAAGGTCTGCTGTTGTCTGTCTTTCACCTTGGGTTTTTCATAGAAAAGAAGCGCGCTCTGCGTAGGCCGTGCGTCTGGCTCACTGCACATAACGCTGTGGCCTCCAGCTGCCTCCATTGTCCTGCCCACGCCTCAAGTGTGTCCTTACATACATAAACTTCAGCTGCTCACCAACACTCTAGTCACACCGCTTGGTCCTTCTCCCCTGGAATGTGCCCACCCTGGTGACTGGAGTCTCGGTCCCAGCCTAACCAGCTCGGCTGCAAACCGGGCACCCAGACAGAGGCAGCCGGGCAGCAGGCTGGAGCCAGGCCCTGCTCTGCACACCCTCCTGGCTGGGCGCTGCCGGCCGCAGGAGGCTGCATTCATCTCTGCTTACTCCCACCTCCGGCAGCAGAAGCTTCTAGCGAAGCGCACCCTGGAGGAGAAGCAGGGAGTGCGCTCCCTCCTCAGCAAGCAGAAGCAGGGCCCCCTGTCCAGCTGGCCGCATCCGCGGGCCTCTTCTGCCTCCACAGACGCCCACCCGCCACATCGCCCATCCGCATCTCGTCCTCCATTGCATTTGTACAGAAGTGCTTTTGAGATTTATTTTTATTCTCTTTTTTGTTTATTCAACTGGGAACCGCTTTTCTTGCCTTTCTGGTCCTCTGCCCATTTGTACCCTTCCTTTTTATGACTACAGGGTCAATTTTGTTTCTTCTTCTCCTAAGAAATTGGGCAGTGACCCTGTCTTAGGCTCTTGGGCTCAGAAAGAGTTTGCAAATATTTACAAGAGGGGCCTGGGGGAATGGGACCGCTCTCCTAGCTCCTCTGGGCATGAGGCAGGCAGCGCTGCTCCCCTCTTCTGGGTTCAGAAAGCCTGATCCCCCAGCCCCAGTCAGTTTGGTGAGAGCAGGGAGACCCCACCAATCACTGCTCCTGTCTAGTCACCTGCAGAAGAGAGCAGGCCGCCCCTACTCTAGCACAAGGATGGAAACTGGTCACCAAGCACTACCGAGCCCAGGGAATGGTGCCTATGTGCCCTGCTGTCACTTGTTACGGGTCACAAGCCCCCTGTCTAGCTAAAGGAGTTGAGGGACTTGCCAAACATTTTCTCTCCTGGGAAGAGGAAAGCCACCTTCAGTCTCTCTGGCCCAGCCTGTGGCCTTGCCGTCAGTCACAGGCGCTTTAGGGCGTGCACAGGGCAGTCACCTGCAGGGTGGGAGCGGGGCCAGCTCACTCCCAGCACCAGAGAGCATGGCGGGAGTGGAATGATCCATGCACTGGGACCTGAGGGGTGGAGCTTTCTCCTTGCTCCCGCCAGGGCCCACTTCCCTTCTGTAGCCCACCCTCTCTCTCGGGTACTCAGAAAGCTGTTCCCGCCCGCAGGTGGCCGGAGCCAGAGCTGACCCTGCCAGCTCCACGCACACACAGGCTGACTCCTCCCTGTCCACTTCTGACCCACTTTTTCAGCTCCGTCTGATCTCTTCCACCCTGGGGTTCCACCACAGTGGGCAGGCAAGCCTGGTCCTCCTCCCATACTTTCCAGGGGCCTTGACTCATGCAGAAGACATGCTGTGCTGCCCCGGTCTTGGGGATCCCTCCCCATAGCCGTGGCTACACGTCTCTGGTTCTGTTCCACTGAGGTTAGAAAAAGAGAGGAGGAAATCTCACCTGTCATGAATTTCCTAACAGTGTTGAAAAAACCTTGCCATGGCACTTAAGCATAGGCCATGTCACTGTGACCAGGGCCGGAGCCCAGGGACCCCACATTCTCAAAAGACCTCACACTTGAGCCTCATGCTCTGGGGTCACAGTCTGAAGCCTTAATCATTTTACCTTAGACGTCACACCTTGTCAGTGGAGCTGCTTGCTTGGGACAATGAAGTGCATGCGAGGGGCTTGGAAACTTAGCTCTGCTGCCCGCTGACCCACTGCCCAGGACTGTGCTTTCTGGCCCGTGTCCCCTGTGTCCTCAGCCTCTTCTAGTCCACCTGGTGAACCGCACTCAGGAAGGCTGGTGTCAGGCACAGAGCCCAAGTGTTCCAGCAGGACACTGCATCTGATGTAGCCGCCCACAGCCGACAGTGCTGCAGGTGGCAGGCTTGCCTTCACCGCTCTTCCTCTAGGGACCAAGCCTGTCCTAGCCTAGGAGGAGCAATGCCACCAGCTGAGCAATGAGTCTGTGGAGCAGGAGATGCCTGTGCCCGGCTCAAGGGATCATCGGCCTGGGTTGCCTGCCGCGATGCTGTGTCTAGCTGGTTACACACTCTGGGACCCCTGAAAGCACCTCACTCTGGTAGTGCTCTGGTGCCCAAGGACATGCAGTGACCTATGCTTGCATCTGTGCACAAGAGAGGGAGAGAAAGAAGCAGGCAGCTGTATACTCTTGAATCTCTGACTGCACTTTCTCCTTTGAATGAAAGGCCTCATGTTTCTGTTTTGTAGAAAGGTCCTACATATTTTGTTCCTAGCCCCGATGTAGCCACAGAGGCAAAAACCTTCGGCCGTGCAGCAGAAGATCTGTAAGAGATCTCAGTGCTAATCCCAAGTGAGCCAGCACTTAGCAGTGCAAAGCGGGACATCAGGCGGCCTTCCGGAGCTGCTGCTCTCCCCACGGCTGTCTGGGCAGCATGAGCAAGCGGACAGAAAGTGGAGCCCTGGGACGAGCACACGTCCCCACTCAGATCACTCCCTGGCCCTTTCTGCCCCACAGCAAGGCTGCGTGTGGTCACTGGCTTTCTGTGGATAGCCTGGGAAGAAGCGCTCCTGCCCACCAGGCTTCCTTAGGAGGAAAGGAGGAACAGCAGCCAGCTGCGGAGAGGCCTGGGGCAGCTTCCGAACCCGCCTGTGTGCTGAGCACTGTCCCCTCACAGAGAGGCATCAGTCACCTAAGTCACCTAAGTCCTTCAATGTCCTGCCCCAAGCCCTGACCACCAAGAAAGACAGGGAGAACATTTACCCTCCCAGCAAACATCTCTGCAGAGAGTACTCCCACCTCCTACTGCAGTGCTCGGATCAGGACTACTTTTAAAAAAGAAATGCGCAAGGCCCAGAACATCTCTCCTGTGGGACGAGGTGGGACAGAGAAGGGTGCTGTGGAGCCAGCAGGAAGAACCGCTGCTCCAGACGGTCATGCTACAGAACTAGCAGGGTAGAAGTGCTGTGGCCCAGGACCTTCTGGTGTTTGCTGGGTGCCAGAGCAGCGATTCTCAAAGTGGCTCCTCATGTGCCACCAGCTAGGGGAGCGGGAGGTCCCCTCGCCCACCGCGCAGCACTGTGTGAAGGCACTGCTGACGCAGAGCTCACAGTAGAGGCCAGTGAATCGGGGGAAGGGAGCTTAGTGTCTGCCACTAGCATTCTTGAGTAGGCAGCAACAGAACCCCTGAGGGAGCTTGGCCACTCTCAGTGTCCCTGGGAGCACCCAACATGGCCAGGGAAGGCAGGGGTTCAGGTGAAATAGCAGGTGGGGTGTGGAAGTGAGGGTCGGCGAGCTGGAGGCTGGTGCCACCCCTGCCCGAGGTACTCGGCTGCAGTTCAAGTCCACAGTGGCTCTCACCTGGGGAAAGGCACCAGGGGCGCAGGACCCTGCTGGCGAGAACAGGTGCATGTGTCCCATGCAGCCGTGTTCCCCAACAGTGCCGGGGCGGAGGAGCTCTGCATCTCCTCGGGCTCCTTGGGCTTTGGGTGACACCTCTGCACCAAAGAGTTTAGCAAAACTGCTAAACTTTCAGACATTCTGCATATTTGCAAAAAAGTAGGACATAAAAGAGGGAACTGCAGCCACCCAAGGGCTCGGAAGCCCTCGAAGCGCAGCTGCAGAACCTCCGCCTGAACACTTCAGCAGACCCAGAACCTCGGAAAACACTGACGCCTGGCTGGAACCCCGGGGTCCCGATCACTGGTCGAGGGCAGACTCTCCCAAGTTCCCTGGGTGCTTCGGACCATGGCCAGGACTGAGACTGCACTGAGAAGATGTGACCAAGCCTGGCATGAAGATGGAAGACTTGGCGGCTCAAGCACGTCCAGGCCTGGCGTGCAGAAAGCTCTTGCTTCCTACAGATCCAGGAATCATGTTTTAACTTCAAGAGTTAAAAACCAAGAAAAAAGAATGTGCTGACTCACGTGGTGGTTCCCCCCACCCCCAGGAGCTAGGGGTTGGCAGGACATGCCCCGCCCAGTGTGCTGGGTCTCAGGGCGGCTTGTGCCCCCCAGCCGAGCGCAGCCATGCTCTGCCCATATGGTATTCTACTGTGATGCTCTCCAGACCTCTTTATACCTCTGCATCCAACTGCTAGAACACTGTCCACTTGCTAGGGGAGGTACCGATCCCAGGGCAGGCTGTGAGTCCCAGTGGTTCTTGTCCTGGCGTGGGGATTTTGCAAGGGAAACAATATAATACAGGACACATTTTATAATATTATTTTATAAGGAAGCACCCAAGAATCCTATACAAGAAGTGCAGCAAAGGCCCAAATGTCAGTGGTGGAAACTAGAAAGTCTATTCCAGCGGGATGAAGGGTCTGTGCCAGCAGGCTGAGGGAGCTGAACCGGAGCCAGGAAGCAATGCTCCAGGTAAGCACCAGAGCTCCCCCAAAAGTACCACAGCCATCCTCAGCAACGGTGAGGTCCCA